ACGTGTTTTAGGTACTGATGCCCATGGGGTAGCACGAAGCGAGGACTAACGGATGCTCTTGGCTATGGTTGGATGGTTCGATATGGAGCACAACTATCTAAGTCGCTTACAACTCAGCGATACTTGAAACCTCCTCACTAGGTATCCTCACGTACCAAGGACATGCTTTTAGATTGAATGTTTAGTTTTTCCTTCGGTAACCTCTTGATAAAAGTACAAGGTCGGTCATATGAAGTTCAAACCATTCTTCACCTTAAAATTTATTTGCATAGTGGCTTGATTCGCTAATAAACTCTTGAAGACAGGGCAGCCATTGTTAACCGTATCAACACTTATGAATAGAACCGCTTTAAAAAAAATGACTTTTGAGGTACATGATATTCTGAAAGCGTCATTTGAAAATACATTTGAATTCATGCATTCAATAGTGGGAATTGAGTAACGTATCTAATTTGATCTTATCAGGGGCACACACCTTCCTGCCTTTCTATCCAAAACATACACTGATGCACTATGCTTTTAGATGTGTGACCGCCTCTAGACTTTACGTATTTACTAGATTTAGGTCTGGCAAACAGGCATGAACAGTCGTTCGTCTCCGTCAGATTCGGGCTAATCACAGAACCCGATCAGTGCGCTATTTTTGGTCGCACTATCAGGCGGAAGCTGTCTCTGCTGCACACCAATCGATAGCATTGTCCCAGTCCAGCCAGGCCAACACCATGGCGTCCGCCCTTCCAGTAGAATGGATAACAGGCTTAGCCCAATGTGTTGTATTTTGTGTGCTAGTGCTTGTGCGCATCATGCTGTTTGTAACATCACATAGGCACGCATTTGGACACACACGGTCTCAAGCATACAGGCACATACAAGACACGCGCCAAGGCAGTGTGCAGGCAGGGGTCGACCACATGACCTTGGCTTTGCATGTAGGGGGTCTGTACGCACGAGTGCTTGCCCGTCCATTCAAGTCCTCTTGATGCATTAAGTGTGTTTACATGTGACATGTCCTTCTCTCGCTCTCCACCAAGTTGCGCTTCTGCCAGCAAGGAAACAGCGTAGCTGGATGCAACTTTGGGAAACCAATAGATTGGTTTAAAGCCCCCGGAGAATAAAAGCCTCTTGCGACTATCATCGTTTCCGGGAGAAGGACTTTTGTTACCACTAATATTACGCACAGGCTCCTAAATCATCCATCGGTTTGTCCATCCAACCACAGCGTTTGCAGTAACAATAATGGCACTAAAAGTGCTAGTTTTCCTACGTAAAGTAGACTTCTTTGGATTTGGCTAAGCGGCGTGAACGAAAGCAGTTGAATGAAACCCAAACGTGGCACATTCCCACTCAGATGCGAGGTTGACCTGGCCCTCCCTTCAGAAACAAGCAAATATATTCGTTGGCACTCAATCACGCACACGTTAAGCTCGTGCAAATATGCACATACGCGCCCGCGCACTGTGCTAGTGTGTATGTGTGCATGTGTGTATATATGTGACACACGCACAAATGCGGTCGGCAAAACACTTGCCAAACTAATAGTAAGTGTGGTGATTTATTCGTTTTCCGTTGCGTAATCCCCGAAGGGCGTATCGACTGCGGAAGAAATCGGTTTGGTCAATGAGGTGAAGGTTGTCGTGGAAAACGGAGGAACACGTGTTGCACGCCCTCACCAACAATGCACTCCCAGCCTCCCTCCGATCAGTTTTACCTTCCGTATTATTAGCTTCCCTAGCACATATATAAGCCGCATTTGATCAAACGCAGAATTCGAAAGCATCATTCACTGAATCTAGCAGCTCAGGTGTCGTTGAGCTACTCATAGAATTAGTTTTGATGAAGTAGCATGTGCAGTTATTATTGCTGATCTGACTGAAGTGAGAAAACCCATCAAGTTGACATATGAGTAATGTAACTGATAACAAAACCATTTGTTTTTTTCAAAAGTATTTGTAAGTCCTAGTTAAAAGTGAAAATATTATTTGGAAGAATATGGAGGAGTTAGATGAAGCATAAATGCATTTCTGGTGGTTTGTTATGAATATTGTTCACCCGCAGTCCTTTTTCTGCCTGCCTGAGTCTAACGTTCCCAAATCGTGAGACAGTTATTAATGCAAACCATACGATCGACAACGAAAATTTGCACAACAAATTCCCAAATGGCCTGAAGCATTTTGCGGTTTACCAGTTATCCTAAACGACACTAATAAACTACACTAGCCGTATTTTGTGGAAAATTCATCCAGTTTATTTTTTATTATAAGTTAGGATCTGCTCATATTGGTCCAATGTTAAACCACATAAGTACGGTCATACCATCTGGCAAACATTTGTTGCCCTCAAACGATAACTTTTATCGTGAAGGGCTGTTCAAAATGGTCTCAACGGGTCTGGTTTTCGTTTACAGGTGTCACTTGTGCTGCATATTTTACAGGTCGTTACTCAGCTGAGTCAATCATTGAACGGTTACTTAGCTAATCAAGACCGACTCACTAACATTGACATAATTTTGAAACCGATTGACCTATTCATTCGTGAAAGTGTAGAACTCGGTTTCTTTTTCATCAAAGCCAAGAGGGCTATAAGACTGCTTTTCATTAGCACTGTTCTCAGCGATCAGCTTTGAGCTGAGCACTCACTATTATTACTACTATTTGAGTATGTGAGTTTCATGACTTCGATCAATTAACAGATGTTCCGTATTTCAACAAACAGAGAACTGTTCAAATTGTTGTTTACCGATTTGAAGTTTGCATGTCGATTGTGAAAAGTTCAGTAGCCTCGGTGAGATTCGAACCCAGCGAGGCTACTGAACTTTTCACAATCGACATACAAACTTCAAATCTGCCAAACAACAACTTGAACAAACAGAGAATTAAGATAAATTATAAATCAAAATTGATTCCAGTTAAACGGTATGGCAACTCAATTGGCTAGTCTGTCGATGGCTTAGAATCACGAATTAGATTCTCCAAAATGGAAAGAATTCTCTCGTGTAGAATGATAGAATCACACCAACGATAAAATTAAACAAATTCAAAATAAACTGGACACATTGTCCTCTCCCTTGTAATTAGAATATTTGAAATTTTACGCACACAAAGTTTGATTCATCTGAAGAAATTGTCGAGTGTCTCTTTGAAATCGAAAATAAGTGTTTTTGTGAACTCCAAGGAGAAGTGTAATATATACCCAAGCGAAGTCATTATATTTAGCGCTTGTACCTTTATTACTTAATGATGGTGAAATGCGTAAATATGTAGGCACGAACTAATGCACCTCTATCCGGTCATTTCTATCTTTTTGTCCTGCGTTATTCACAACTGAACTTATCATTTCGGTTTGCTTCTACCTACCAGCCACCACCAGAATCGGTCGTCATGTCTGGGGGCTCCGTTGAATATGCTATTCGCAAACTTCTTTAGTTTCTTGCTCTGACGTCAGATTACGAGCGAGTATACGAGGTGACATTTGTTCGCTTGCTACTATCCAAAAGAGGAATTCGTTAGGCACGCAAACACACACGGACGTACCCACGTAAACGAAAACCCATGAACATGGGTGGGGCTGGTAGTTACTTGTAGTTTACTGTATTTTGTTACCCTACCCACCATTAGTTGACGGAAACCAGCATGTAAGCCTGGAGTTTTCTTTGTTCGCTGCGAATTGACTTAAAATTACTCGGGGTTATTTCCATGTTCTTTTTCAGGCAGTTCGAATTACCGCTTTTAGCGATCAACTGTGGGCGTCAAGTGAACCGTTCACCTGTCCCCTGTCGCTTTTTTCCGAATCGTTAATGATGCTAAGCGAAATGGGTATTCCATGACCTTGAATAATCATGCGATTTGGGAAGCAAGAATGATACTGGATCCTACCATTGTGTTTCGGTGTTTTGTTTCAGTTAAAAGGAATTATGATAGATTAAATAATTTGATATAATTTCTCATAGTTATTTAATGTTTGTCCCACAGCTATTCTTTTATGTAGGAGCAGATTATTTATCTAAATAATATTGCATGGA